CAGAAGTGTCACAGCCACAAGAATGACCAGGAACTTCATCATGTTCAGAATACGGATGTGAAAGATTAACTGGTGGGGGCTGGAGCAGCTCCCCATCTGTGTTGGGCAGAGGGCTGCTTCAGCCCTGCGGGGCCTGCCGTGGATAGGGGCTGCTCCAGACTTCTGTGAGGAAGCAGCACTCAAGCCCAGGGCTGGAGCAGTCTCCTTTACTCGGTTTTCTAGTTAAACGAGAAGTAAACTTCACATGTAATTGGTTAGCCAAATACACAGGATTTTATATCCCTAGTTCAGAAATGGATACTAACACCTTCCTCGGGCTTAGCTATCTCTCAGGTAAGGTTTTCAAAGACAAGAAGACATGGCAAACACTTGGAAAATGCTCCTGCAGGCTGTCAAAGAACAAAGGAAAGACACTTTTGCTTTTTCCATTGTTAAACATGCTCGGAGACTATGGAAAGAGGCACCACAGAGATACCTAGATCAAGACACAGACAAGCCCGGAACCCCATATTCATGGTACAGTCTCCAACAAAACCAAGACTCTGGCTGCTAATTTGCTTCTCTGGGCTGAGCCACTCACCTCCAGCATGCGTGAGCGGCGGATAGTTATGTGTGTGACATGAGGCGATGCAGAGCTGGTTTCAACCAGCCCAAGTTTCTCTTTCTCCTTTGTCACCATGTTTCGGAAAAGAAGGACCCTCTGAAAAGAAAATCCAAGACAGGCTAACAGTGTCAGATTGTGAGTCTCTACCCGGAGAAAGGTACACATGCTGCTCCCCCCACATGGATGGACAGTTAGTACCAGACAGACAAATAGAGCACATAAATACAGTTGCTTTCACAAACCACCGCCATATAAAGGAGGAACTTTAGCTATGGGAGATTATACCCAGGCCTACATCCTACTTGCCCATCTCAAAGGGGCAGATACAGTGATGTCAGCAAATCATGCTCACAGAAAGTGAGCAGGATCTAGCCCATAATATCTTTTTGACATTCTTTCCTCACACAATTAAGAGAGAAGCTGCTGTGTTTTGTTCAGGAAGGTTCCCAGTTAGTGAACGTAGTGGCTGGGAAGGGGAAATCCCTCACTTGAATCCCAGGATCCAGAGAGATGCATTCTGGAAAAGGATAGCTTGGCGGGTCTGTATTTATCCTGCTGGGGCATTGCTGCCAGTGTGAATTAATGGGAAGAAAGAACTGCTCTCACAAACAAGATCCCCTTCTCTAAAGGAAAAGAAGAGGATGCTGGTTATTAGCAATCCTGATATTGACAAATTCTGGTTAATAGCAATATTTTGTGGAGAACAGAGCCTGTCTGGTTGACTGTAACGTTAAACTGGGATTTGGATATCAGGAGCAGTCATAACTCTTACTGACAACTTCTTTTTTCTTGCCATGCAGCCTTGCAGGCCCCTGGCACTCCACAGCTGCAGGCACATTTGTGAGGCTGCAGTGAGGGAAAGCAGCAGGGTGTGCTCAGCATGGACCCTGAGCTGCAGCTGAGCTTTGTACAAGTAGTAGGAGAACTGGGAGCCCAGACAGCATCTCTCCCTCTGCTCTCTGCATGGCACCCGGCTCTGGAGTGTCAGAGTCCCCTTCTCAAGGAGAACCCCATCTACAGGCAAGCTTGTGTAGGTGCAATCAGTGAAGAAATGACGAGGAGTCCTGTGGCACCTTATAGACTAACTGAAGTGTAGGAGCATAAGCTTTCGTGGGCAAAGACCCACTTCGTCAGATGCATGACATGCATCTGACGAAGTGGGTCTTTGCCCACGAAAGCTTACGCTCCTACACTTCAGTTAGTCTATAAAGTGCCACAGGACTCCTCGTCGCTTTTGCAGATTCAGACTAACACGGCTACCCCTCTGATACTTCAGTGAAGAAAGTACAGGGATATGCCAAGCCAGGGTTCCCAGGGCCAGGGCAGGGAACAGCACAGAGAGTGCAAAGATAAATACTGTACAGCCTTGTGGGCCCCTTATACCTTCTGTCAGAGCCATCCTGTCCATAGTTTGTGGTAGCTGCTCCAGGCCTTGCAGCAGCCATCTCAACCATCCTATGGACAGGATTTGGGGAATTACCTGGGGGCCAATTCGGGACTGCAGCAGCAGTCTGACCCCCTCCTGCACTCACCACAGCAGCAGGAGCTGGAGCAACTCAATAGTCTGAGCCACTCCATCCCACTCTACTGGGCTCCACTTCTCCACTGCAGCAGGAAACAGCACACCACAGCCCCTGGGCACTCCACTTCCCAATGTCCCAGAGATGTGTGGTGCACTGGGCACGGAGAGGGTGGCAGGGCGGAGTGGAGCAGGCTGTCGGGTCACTCCTGCTCCCCTTGCCATGGTGAGTGCAGAGTGTGGGGGAGGGGGAATTTGCGGGCAACTTTTACTGCTTCTTTGTATCAGGCCCCCAGGTCATCTCCCAGTTCCTGTTGCTTTGGGCGGGAGCTTTGGGCATGGGAGCAAAATAGAGCCACAAATGGGATGGGAAGAGAAAGGCAAAGCTTTGGGGGATGGGGTGGAACAGAGGCAGGATGAGGATGGAGCAGTGGTGGAACCTGCAGCCCCACAGGTGTCTTCAGTTCTCATGGAGAGCCCCTTCATACAGACTACAGCCCTGCCCTACCTTCTGGTGCCCTAACCACAGCCTCCCTCCCACTCTGAAGCACTGGGACTGCTGAATTCCTTCCTATTGGGCTACCAGAGCCTGACCACAGGCTGCCCCACACTGTCTTGGGCTTAGGCCTTTCACACATGGGCAACTTTTGGTTATTAGCAACATCTTACTGGGAAATGAGAGATTGCTAATAAGCAGCATCCATTGTATTTTAACTGGGCTTTTGGGATGTGAATTCAGCACTGGAAAACCCGTGAGGCTCAAGCCCCTTTTGCTCACCCACAGGATGGGCTGTAGCAGGGCACACTTCACTCAAAGCCCTCCTGCCCACATCCTACTCACATTCTTGTGGGGGATGACATGCGGGATGTACTGCAAGAGCAGCTGAGCTCGTTTCTTGTCTTTGTCCAGCTCTTGGAAGAGCACACTGGGTTTGAGGTCCCTTAAAAAGCAAGACACATATTCAGAGTCCCTAAGAAACACACAGAGAAAACCAGGCTTGGCAAAATCAGTGGCAATAACTTTTTTAAAAGCACCTAGGAGATTCAGGAGCTTAAATCCCTTCTAAAAATGGGACTTGGAGGGTTCTGAAATTTGTAGCCTGTACAAGTGATACTGATTCACAGAGAATTATTGCTCTAGAGAAGCAAGGGAAGCTCCATCACTGGGGACTTACTGAAGTGTCCAGCCAAGGCAAATAGAACACAGCGAACAACTGTGGCTGGCACGGCAGAACACCAAGGAAGTTCCACGTGTGACCATGTGACATAGTCCAAAATGGTGAAGACAAGACCTGCTACGATGAGAAAGCCATGCAATTGTACGTGGCCCTGTGTGAGGTCCCAGCACTCACTTTCGCAGCCAGTGGTCCTCAGGAGCAAAGCGCCGGCGACAGTCTCTTTCATACAAAACCATCAGCCAGCCATGAACAGAATGAAATAACTCCAACGTCTCTCCTTTGGCATTTTCTACAAAAGAGACAAACACAGAAACATACCAGTGACCAACACCAAGCAGAGAGCCACTCCTTTTCCCACTGCAAACCCAAGAAGCTAAGTGTCCTTCACCTCCACTGTCTTTAGGAAATTGAAAGGGCTCAGCCTCTCTCTCTCTCACACACACAAGTGTCCAACACCTCTTAGGATCCAGGCTTGAATCCCTTGGTCCTGTTACTGGCCACCACAACCAGCACCAGCAAAAGGTAAACACACTTAGAGCTACATGATATTTATACGGGTATCCAACAATCTTCTTGTGATTTGGCATAGATTTACCCAAAGTTGGAATATATTCCTCTCTGAAAACTCCCAGAGCTGAAGTAGCAAGTACAGCCATGCTTTACTAGAACCTACTGAACATCAGAAGCCATGGACACAGAGGGTACGTCTAGACTACAGGCTTTTGTCGACAGAAGTTTTGTCGACTGATACTGTCGACAAAGCTTCTGTCGACAAAGAGCGTCTAGACGACATCCAGTTCTGGTGACAAAGCAAGCCACTTTGTCGACATGAGAGTGTAGACGCAAAGAACAACGTAGATGCAATAACGCCTTCTATCGACCGAACTCTGTCGACAAAAGGCGTTATTCCTCATAGAATGAGGTTTACCGCCATCGACAAAACTGCTGAGTTCTGTCGACGATATGGCACCAGAACTCGGCGGTAGTGTAGACACAGGTATAGTTTTGTCGACAAAAGGCCATTTTTGTCGACAAAACCCTGTGAGTGTCCTTACTCCACCCAGCACCACCACCATCATGCTTTGGTGTGTGATACTATTGTTTTACACAATCATTAAGAAAAAAATATATCCCTACTTCTAGGCTCAGGTTGGCAAGGCTATCCATGCACACGTCACACACACACAAATCATGCATTCACTGGGTTCATGTATATAATTGCACATTTAAGTGCTATTTTGTAAGAGGTGCAGATTTGGAAAAAGATGCCCCATAAATTCTCACTGTAGTAAAACACTGACTGACTGGTTTTACATGGTACCCCAACATGGCACAGGTATCTGAACACGTGAACGGTGGATAGTTTCATTTCAAAGATCCAAAGAATCTAACAGCTTCAGTGAACAGCATTCAATCATGCCAGCTCACTGGCAGAAGCCTCTGGATTCAGCCATTTGCTACTACTTAGAATGAGTTCAAAAGGGTCCAAAAATGAGCTAGCTAAATTCATGAAGTTTAAGTCCATCAAATACTCAATAGCCAGGATGGTCAGGGATGGTGACCTTAGCCCCTGTTTGTCAAGGTCTGGGCATGGGTGGCAGGAGAGGGATTACTTGATGATTCCCTGTTCTGTTCACTCCCTCTGGGGCACCTGGTATTGGCCACTGTTGGCAGACAGGACACCAGGCTAGATGGACCTTTGGTCTGACCCAGTCTGGCCGTTCTTATGTTCTTACCATGCTCCCCTCAATGACACCACTGAAGCACTTACCCACAATTCCATCCCAGATCATCTTAAACACAAAAGAATTTAGGAAAGAAGAGATGGTAACAAGTTCTTCCACCTTGAATGAGATTTGTTCTTCATAGACTTCAATGTCGTCGAGAATTCTGGAAGGGAAAACAAATGTTGGCTTGTTTCCCTTTTGAAAGGGCTTTTTGAGAGGCATTTTGCCTGACATTTACTGGGAGTTCTCATTTCCTGTGATGGCTAAAAACAGAAGTTAACCCCCTGAACAAACCATATTTATTGATTCTGATCAATATCTGAGTTTATAAGATCACAAAAAGTCTAGGAAATACGTTATGCCCTCTATGGTACCACATAGAGGGATTTTCATTCAGAAATTGGAAAACACTCATGTCTGGGAACAGATCCAGATGTATAGGCTTCCAGTCAAGTGTCCAGCCAGCCAGCCAATACCCCTTCTTAAAGCATGATGTGTGCTTCTGAAGAATTTTCCCTGTGTTTAGATATAATTACTGCATACCAGCATGGAGAAAAAATACTCCTTGGGTTCTCAATGCTGCAGTACTGCAATGGGCAACCCAGAATAGTGAGTGGGCTGCAAAATTGTCGTCATTAAGACGCTCTCCCAGGACAGGGTTGTCTTGCTAACTGCACTTGCATATTTAGAATTTGCAGGGTGTGCCAATGTAACTGTAGCAGCGCTGTGCCTTGATGCAGAGGGAGCACGTGGCTCTCACAATCAATATTGTGTGCAATCAGCATACACTTCACTTCACATGCCTTTGACTGATGAGCATGTCAATTTAGTAATACCAGTAGGAAAACACATACATGAAAGTAAATCAGCAGCACTTGGCAACCCTGCATGTGGGCAATTGTAAACAAAATGTCTTGGAAGCCACACACAGAACCCCGAAAAGCTGAATATGGCCCATGGATTGCCCACCACAATCGTAGTATGTAGTTACCTTTCCCACCACATATCCATCCTTTACACAACTCACTCTTTGCAAAGCATGCAGTTTTGGCTCTTGCATTTTAGTTATCTATATGCAATTACAGTGGCATTTTGGCTCTCCACCCTAGCACGCCAGTAATATTCAAGCTGTATATTCAAATTCAATAGGAAAAGCCTTCTTCTAGTAACCTACGTGATTAGATGTCTTGAACAATCACAAAAAAGCATCAGCATGGCTAGCAGTCTCTTGGATTCCTCAGTGTCGTTATTCAAGCATTCCAAAAAGAGTTTTAATCCACCCTGGGGTCCCAGTTCACAGATAAAGGCCCACAATTTGGGCAACAGGTCATCAAGATAAGTGAGGCCTGAAGGAAGGAAAACAAAAGAAAGAAAACCTTAATACAGCTCTTTCCCCTGTATGCAGGGAAAAACAAATATGACCAATTGCAGCAATGTTATTGTGCAAAACCAATGGTTTTTTTGTGACAGTATGTCCCGGCGTACCAGCACCTATTTTCCCATCTTAATTGAACTGAATGGGATTCCCCTCTGGCGTACCGGCACCTATTTTCTGGGGCGGCTGAGCTCCCAATGGAAGTGCGCCCAGCACATGGCTCTTAAAGGGGCCGCAACTCATTTTGGCCCCAGACCCAAAACATTTTTTTTTTAATTTTTTTTTCAATTAAAAGAAAACACCTTATTTTTTTAGGTTGACTTAACCAGTGAGGACATGCCTATACTAGGAATTTATTTTGAAATAACTCATTTTGAGATGATTTTTGAAATAATAATTTTGAAATTGCATGTCCACATTATAGGAAAGCCTTGAAATTAGTCCAAGGCAGGCTCTGTTAATGTGGATGCACTATTTCAACTTAGAACTCCAGGAAGCACTGGGGAAGAAACCACTTTGAGAAGCACAGCATCACGGAGAGATGGGGAAGCAAGGCGCCAAGGGCAAGGCCATGCAAGTTTTCCAAGGTCACAGTCAGCAGCAGCACCAAGAACGGAATTCAGGAGTCTGGCTCTTAGTTTCCTGAATTAGCTACTAGACCACATGATTGCTTACCACCTGCTCCCGCCTTTCTAGTAAGCAAAATAATTTGTTCTTAATATAGCTGAAGCAATCAACAAGACCATCACATAAAGAATAGTACTAATGGCTATTATTCAAAGACATTGAGCCAGATGCACAGTCGATAAAAAGTATGCAGGTTTCATTGCAGCAGAACTTGCTTTTGCATTTGATAAAGGAGCAATGAATGGTATTGATCAGATGTATGATTCCATCCATCTGGTCAATAAATAGTCCTTTGTAATAAAACTACAAGCAGAATCAGTGAGAGGCCGAAGTTTATATCTTTAGAAGATTTCCTCCCCCCCCTCCCAATTTTAAAAGGTGTCCTGAAGAAGAAACAAAAACCCCACATACCCACCCCTCACTGACCCGTGAGTATCTGCAGCCGGATCTGCGTTAGAGTCGTCAGCGTTGTCTGGTACAGCACACAGATGCTGCACACCTTCTGCACCTCTACTGAATCCACCCGCTTGCCTCCAACTGGTTTGAGGATGTTGCGAACAGAGGCAGACTTCTGGAAGGCTCGCTTGAAAAGATCTGGTAGGAGATAAAGGGAGAAATGCACATGAGTCTAGGAGACAGACATTCATCACCAAGCAGAGTCTTATTTTGGGTCACCACGCAGCCCCATAGCAATGGGGGTTTAACAAGGACAATAACCAGTTGAATGGGTCATGCCACAGAACTGCAGATTTCACTCAATTCCCTATGGCAAAATGTTTTGCAGGGACATTCTCCACTCCATAAACACCAAATTCTCTGATGACATGGACATCATTCACAAGTCATTCTCTACTTTCAAACATTACCCACATGGAAAAGCAATCAACGGTTGTGCTGTAATATCTAGCATGGATCTATAGCAGACTGAGTCAGCAGTTATAAGGGGTTAGATCAGGGTGGGAAACCTTTTTTGGGTCAGGGGCCACTGACCCACAGAAAAATCAGTTGGGGGCTGCACACAAGCGAGAAGCAAGGAAAAAACAAAACAAAAAACCTCCTCACTGAGGGCCCAGGCTAGTAGACTGTGTGCTCCAGCTCTGTGGTGGGGCAGTGGAGGGGCTGGAGCACCAGTGCAGGCTCCCTGGTGCTGGGAGGGAAGAGGAAACTGAGCCTCAGGGGCTGGATCCAAGCAAACTGAGGGCTGCATCCAGCCCCTGAGCCTGAGATTCCCCACCTCTGGGTTAGATCAAGAGGCCACGTCCCAGAAATTCCAGAGCTGTAATCCAGACTTTGCCAATGATTGTAAAACCATGGGAAAGTCACTTTACCTCCCTGTGCCACTTTCCATCTGTGAAGCTAGGATACTAGCCAACAACTGTAAGGGAAGGATGGTAATAATAATAGGCTGTTGGCAAAGATTGAATTAAGGTTTTCATCTTCAAATCACTTAAGAAACAATTCACACCCTGCTTGGAAACAGACAAGTGTCCCCAAGAAGATGAGTGACTTGCTGACATCCTAGAGTAATCAGAACAGGGATTACACCCCAGAAAGAACTTGCCTCTAGCTGCGTAATAGCAGGTACAGCACAAAACTACTCAAAGCCTTTGACTAAAGGGAGGACAGTCAAACTGCTGCCAGCAAGATTGAGAAGACAGAGCCCATGCCCTGGCCTGTACTAAACTGACTTTTCATGGGAAGGCTGCTCTGTGGGGAAGCAGTTGGTCCCGACGGGTGGGTCGGCTCCTGACTTTCCACCAACTTCTTGCTGAGAACATCGCTGAAAAGGATGCGAATTAGGTGGACTCCCCAGAGATGCTGCAACTGCTTTGTGAGCAGAGGCATGGACTCATTTAACCTAGAAGACAAGTCAGGGCAAGAGAAAGAAAGAGACAGACAGAATGTAACTAAGGATATTAAAATGCATTTAATTAAGTAACCATGTAACCACTGACTATTTCAGTGGCTACACACACGGCAGCTTTCGGCTCCCTGGGAGCCATGCATGTGGGGAGCCAGCCTGCATATACTGGCTCAAGCCTGCGCCCAATGCTGCTGCTGCAGCAGCTACAGAGACAGCAGTATGAGGGCGGCGAGCAGGTGGCAGCCAGCTTCCCATGTGTACCAGGAGCCTGCATGTAACCATAAATGTTAACCGATGAGCCCAGACTCTTTGGTTAATCATCCACACGGTTATACTTTCCCATCCCTAGTTGAAACAATGGCTTTCTCTCAGCTAACAAGCTGCATGTGAGTGCAGTGTCAAGGTTGCATAATTAAAATGCAACTCCCGACATGCAAGGAGTTAAGGGGACCACACTATCCATTTTAAGTGACAGAAGGTACCGCATGTGTAACATGGCCAAGTTACAAACCAAATCTCAGACTTACTTGTCTCAGAGGTCTTGCTCACTTACCCATAATCCACAGTCTGGGAGAACCAGCCAAGAACAGGATGCCAGTGCGTGAGGTTGGATTTCTTTTGCGACACATACTTCTGGCAGTACGACAGCATGTGAATAAGCACACTCACAAAGTGCGCCGTCTCCTCCTCTAGCACTTGGTCATTCAAGGAGCCCAAGTAAACAAGGTTACCTGAAACAGAACCAGCGGCAACTCTTTGAAGAGGAGCAACATTTGCAAGAGGATAACACCTTTACTGGACACCGAAGGGGGGACTCTCTCCACTTCTCACCAGTACAGGGCAATACCTTACCCGGCTGCTCTCCAGTGCTCCAGACAGTCTGTTCATAATCTCCTCCTTGTTTACTTGTTAACTAAACACAAAATCACTGCCTTCAGCAGTGACAGCAGGAAAGGGTAACTGTAAAGAACACTAGTGTGGGCTAGATCCTGCTACCATTGAAATAAGTGGCAAAAGTCCCATTTACTTTGATGTTCACATAGGACCTTCTGTGCTTCTTCCATGTCTTAAAACGAGTTGGGGGGACTAAACAGATTGCAGAAACCTGGCCAAATTCAGGTCTGGCATAAGTAGGTGCAAATAACAGTGAGGGTAATTAACCAGTGGAGCAACTTTACAAAGCATGTGGTTTATCCATAACTAACCATTTTTATATCAGGACTGGATGGCTTTCTAAAAGATCTGTTCTAGAAGTTCTTTTGGGAAGCTCTATGGCCTTACATTAGAGATACAATTATACAACAATGGACCTTCTGGCCTTGGAATCCATAAAAATCTACCAAGTCAATGACATTCAGCAAATACAGTGTATTCACTGGCACTGCATTTACTCACATTGGATTTGGAGTAGGCATCAAGAACAGATTTCTACCCAATTCATTTGTCCAGTGACCAAAATGTGTCTTTTGCTCAGATAGTTGTTCACTGGCTCTTTTCATAGCAGTCACTGGTTTCAGCCCAATTACCAGCACACACATCATACTCTGAGGTGCTAGCCCAGAATACTCTCCTATTGCCATCTTACTTACTTCCCACTCACATTTCATGAGCTGCAGCCAACCTAGAGAATCTAGAGGCCATTCATATTCATTAATTAACACAGTTCCTCTGACTACATCCTCAGAGTTGGTGTGAGATCAGCAAGTTCCAGAAGCATATCAGCGTAGGCAAGATCATTTCACATCTGCTATGTGAGTGTCTACATGGCAAGCAAGCTGAGGTTATCATCAATACGTCACATCTTAAGAAGGGGGCTGCTCCTGAACTCCACACATGCTGTGTCCTTGGTCCCTTAGCATGACCCTCTTGGTCAACTTAGTCCTGCCTCAGGGCAGAGGGCTGGACTAACTGACCTCTTGAAGTCCCTTACAGCCCTACATTTTTGTGCCTTACATTAGAGCCATACTTAAGTGTCCTTGCAACATACATGATGCAGGCTTTTTTAGAAACCACCCAAATGAGCTAAACTGGGAAATAATGGACTTTAAAACCAGAGTCCTTGACCTTAAGAGAGGATTTCAGAATTCATTCAAATAGGGCCCTCTCCACAAAGCAAAGGAACACTCTTAAAAGTTTCTCTTTGGACATGGGATACTCCGATTACGGACACATGCTTACCCAGTAAACAAAGGGTATGACTTCCTTCTAAACACACACAGACATCTCGACACTGAGCATCCCGACTTAAAAATAAGATGAATTTGCGGAAAAGGTCGTGGGTTTCCATCACTGCCAGGCGCTGGAAAACATAATGGTTTTTAAATGATGGGAAAGTTGCAAGTTAAAGTAACAGAGCGTCATACAAAGTAGCCCCATCTGACACATCACTAGGGATTTAGGGGGTCTGTTCATTCCAGAGCAATCACTGCAGGCAGGGGATGCACAGACCCCATGCCAAAGAAACACTCTAAAGAAGAGATCTCACAAGATCACAGGCATGTGTGGGAGCCTGCCCCAGGGGAGATCTACAGGTGAACTGGGCATGTTCTAACCAGTCACACAGCTAATCTTCAGATGTCCTGAATCTTGGTAGTTATAAAACACCTGCATCCCCTGGAATCCACCAGCAATCGGCCCATGCTATGAAAGGGAGCAGACAAACCAGTATATCATTGCTCAGTGGGATTCCTCTCTATAAGTTAGATGATTTTGCCTCTCTTTGTTCTCTTGCCCCTGTCAAAAATCACCATGGAATGGAAGACCAATGAGACATCCTCTGGGTACACTCCCTCTGGGGCACCTGGCACTGACCACTGTCAGAAGGACAGGAAACTGGGCTAGATGGACCTTTGGTTTGACCTATGGCCGTTCCTATGTTCACAAAATAAAACGTTCAGACAAAAACAAAGACAGGCAGAGTAGCTTTACATGAGTGGTCACCAACGTGGTGCCCGCGGGCACCATGGCACCCGCCGGGGCATTTATATGCGCCTGCCAAATGATCTGGGCCGTCCCTGCCCCCGGCACGCAGTGCATGTGCGGTGCCAGCCCCGGGCACATGGGCAGCCCCGGGCACGCGGCACATGCGCGGTGCTGGCCACGCCCCTGGACACGCAGCGCATGAGCGGCCCTGCCCCCAGACACGCGGCTCATGAGTGGCCTTGCCCCCGAGCACCCAGCAGCCCCAAAAGGCTGGGGACCACTGCTTTACACACAGGGCTGAATATTTACAGGGAGAACTGCCTGTCACACTTCCAGACACTTTGCAGTTTCTCTCAGCCAGAGCTGAATGGATACATCTGCATAACAATGTCCTATTCATATGCATGCCCAGCTGAGCTGGAGGAGGTTCTGTATTTACCAGCTGTTGCCACTGTATTTTACCTGGTAGGAACTATGCACAGCACTCTACATAGCAGCACAAAACAAACCGCTCTGTTCAGCACCCTCTGGACCAGACTGGTCCTGGATTGAGGGATGTGGCTGGACTAAGAGATAATTTCTAGCCTTCTTGCCACTGATTCTACCCGTCCCTCCCTCCCCAGCGTGTCAGGACTCTTGGATCCCAGAACATCTGTGGGACGAGACAGTCCCAGTTTATAGAGGAGCAACCTGTAAAACAAAGACTTGAACCAGTTCTGAAAAACCAGCAGAAATAGTGTTCTGGCTGTTTGCTATTCAAGCGTTGTATTATGGGAGCACCTAGTGGCAACATGAGGTGTGGTGGCTGAGTGGTTAAGGAGCATAACTACAATCATAAAGATCATGGGTTTAAGTCTTGCTTGACCTCACACCAAAAAGGCCACCTCCAGTGCACCCAGCTGCCAAATGGGTACCTGATCTACCCAGTTAGGGCTGTGAAAGGCAGTTGGATGTGATGCTGGCCATGTCACACCCTTGTGTATCACAAGCTATGAAACTGATGTGCCTTAACAGCATCAACCCAATGAGCCCTTGGCATGAGGAGACTGAGTCTCCAAAAGAGATTGGGGCTTGGTTTTGCTAAGCACCCTGTAAGAGTCTCTGTGCCAAAGAGTACATGAAATACATACAGACACACATTTTATTAATGGGGAAACTGAGGCATGGAACAAGTAAGCATGCAGAGAGCTTTTAGCTGTGCCAGGAAGAGAGGCTAGATCTCCAGGGTATGTGTCCAAAGCATTAACTACAAGAACAAAAGAGAACTCGCTTGGCTTCTACAGCATTAGAAACTAAGGCTAAGAAGGAAGGGAGAAGAATGTGTGTTTCCATTAGAAAAGGATTAAATTGATAGAGAATGAAATTTTACTGTCAACTTTTAGGAGGCTGATACAGCTCTTTACTCACCAGTATTTGTACCTAGAGTCACCAATGACTAGTCAGAGAATATATGACATGCCAGAGGGCTCAGGATTCTGTGATGAAGTAGCCCACTTACCTCAGGTGTTAGCGTAGCAAGATGAGTCACTATTGCAGGCACTGACATGATATGGATCAGAAATGATCTCAGGAGATTGTCAGAAAACTGAGCAGCAATCACAGGGCTGAAGAGAGGGAAAAAATACATACTTCAAACCCCACACTTTGTGTTTCCTAAGAAAGGCAGCCTTTCTATCAAGAGCTTGAGAACTGTCCACTACTTCTGTTTTCATGAGGTCACTTTGAAAAGAATCAGCCTCCTATGACTTATGCTATCATGGTGATAGAGCAACCGCCACCATGACCCCATGGGATCAATGAAAGCCAGATGCAGGAGGAAATATGGAGTCTTATTCCATAATACTTTTTAGTTCTCACATAGCATCTCCCGTTTCTAAACAGCTCTATAAACATTAACTAGATTAACACACACCGCACCTTGGTAAAGCAGATGAGTAAGTAGTTTAGGGAAGTTAAATTTTGATCAACTAATCGACTAGTCGATAAATGAGAGAGCCATAGTGGGGTTAGCTTCCCTCATTTTTAATACCTTTAAAAGGCTGAAGCGCAGGGGGGGGAGGGAAAACCAGCACGAGCTGGCAGCAAGGCGGGAGGGAAGCGACTAGTTGAGGGGCTAGTCAACTAGTTGTTTACATCCCTAAAATAGTTACCATTTACTCAGGCCAAGCTTAAGTGACCTATTCAAGACCACAGAGCATGTCAGTGGCAGGGTCAAAGTCAGAACTCAACTCTGCTAGAGCTCGAATGAATATCTGAAATCAGACGTGAGCCAGTCCCATTGTCTCAGAAATGACACTTACAGAAGGAAACCTGTTCACAGAGTTAGCTCATGCAAGTCTCTAGGGATGCTCCTTGGGCACTGTGGATTGACACTAACACTATGTCTACACAGCAACATTATTTCAAAATAACTAGCATTATTTTGAAATATCTTAGTCCACCTCTACACAGCCAGCAGTTATTTTCACGTAATGTTGAAATACTGCCAAGCTGGAGGATTTCTACTCCAACTCATGTAATCCTCATTGTAGGAGGAGTAAGGGAAGTCAAAGGAAGAATGCTCTATTTTGAAATAAGTGCTGACTAGACAGCACCAAAACTTAAATAAGCTATTTCAAAATAAGCTACACAACTGGCGTAGTTCAAGTTGTGTAGCTTATTTTGAGTTAAGTCCTGCTGTGTAGATGTGCCACAGGTGAACTTCCCATGAACAGATTTGGGCTTTGTAGATCTGAGTTTGGATTATGCATGAATCTTATTCTGAAATGCAAGGAGATGTTTCTAGCTCAGTGTTTCTCAACCAGTGGTAAGAGTACCTTTAGGGGGACTCAAGAGAAGTCTGGGGAGTATGTCAACACAACTGAACTCTGGAGAAAACTGAATTTTTGTTTTCAGTTTTACAGAGTTGTATTATTTTTGTACTTTTTACACCCAAAAATTTCATTGCCAGCCCAGCTACGATTAAGTTGTTTAAACAAGTATGTTGCAATGGTAGAAAAAAATTGTGTGTGTTTGAAAACTGTAGGAACTGGGGGTACTTATAATTTTTTTAAAGGCGTACTTTATAAAAAAAGGTTCAGAAACACTGTTCTAGCTAACTGAAGTCCCTCAGAGGGGGGACACAATTTACACCTGCAAAATGGACAGCTAGCACAGATAAGATCATCTGCACCTCTATCTGACATGCATCCTCACTTATGTACTTAGAGGCGCAATGGCAGTTCACTGGGGGTTGCAAATCACACCTGCAGAAAAAAGGGTAAATAGTCTAAAGGAACTGGCCAACACAAAAATGCAGGATTCCAAGCTTAACCCCACAACTGATCTTTACACCTGATTTATAAACACTTAATATTATGGGTACAGAGTAGAAAAGAATGAAGTCCTCCACCTAAATTAGCATCATGCACTAATATGATAAACTCACATACAGCTACAAAAAGAAACACAGGGCAAGAGGTCTTCAGACAGACACTGTAAGCAGCTTTAGCTACATATCCCTCCAAGCTTCTTTTGTTGCCTTACCGCAATGCTAGAGAAAAGATTGCAGTTAAAGTGCCTTTGGACAGAGATGGTCTGGATCTTGCCAAGCCATTTGTTAGCAAAATCTGAAAAGGAATTAAAACTCGTGTTAGAGAAAGAATCCCACTGTTCTTGAAAGGCACAGTCACTTTCAAGGGATATAAAAAGAAATTAGAGAGGATGTTACGCAAGGTGGTTGTTACAAGTCTCTGGCCTGCGTCAGAGCGTTTCTGGTAGAGGTACTGGCAGCAAAGAGAAGCTGCATTCAGAATACCAAAAGAAACTACGCTGTCTCCTTAAAAAACTCCCTACCTCTACTCGGGACCAAATCCACACAGACACACCTTCTGAACTCTGACCTGGATTGTTCTATCTGCTTCTCAAAATCCATAAACCTGGACACCCCGGACGCCCCATCATCCCAGGTATCGGCACGCTCACTACTGGATTATCCAGCTATGTAGACTCTCTTCTCAAACCCTACGCAACCAACACTCCCAGCTATCTCTGAGATACTACTGACTTCCCGAGAAAACTACAAAACATCGATAACCTTCCTGATAACACCATCCTTGCTACCATGGATGTAGAAGCTCTTTACACCAACATCCCATATGAAGACGGATTACAAGCAATTAGAAACACTATCCCAGAGAATACCACTGCCAATCTGGTAGCAGACCTGTGTAACTTTGTTCTCACCCACAATTATTTCCAATTTGGGGACAACTTATACCTCCAGATCAGCGGCACAGCCATGAGTACCCGCATGGCACCACAGTACGCGAACATCTTTATGGCTGACTTAGAACAACATTTCCTCAGATCCCGTCCCCTTTTACCCCTTCTCTACTTACGCTACATTGATGACATCTTTATGATCTGGACCCATGGCCAAGGAACACTGGAGACATTACACAGAGACTTTAACAACCTACACCCCACCATCAGTCTCAGCCTGGACCATTCTACAAGAGAGATCCATTTCCTGGACATCACAGTACAAATCACTAATGGAAAATTAGACACCACTCTCTACAGAAAACCCACCGACTCATACAGTTACCTACATGCCTCCAGCTCCCATCCAGGACACACCATACGATCCATCGTCCATAGGCAAGCCATCAGATACAATAGCATCTGCTCTAATCCCACTGACAGAGACCAGAAACTTCAGGATCTCTACCAAGCATTTATAAACCTCAACTACCCACCCGGAGAAATAAAAAAACAAATTGAAAGAGCCAGATGAATATCCAGAAACCATCTACTTCAAGACAGACCCAAGAAAACCAACAACAGAACACCACTTGTCATCACCTATAGCCCCCAACTTAAACCCGTCCAACGCATTATCAATAAACTACAACCTATACTGGAACAGGATACTACACTCCGAGTGGCTCTGGGAGACAGACCCATAGTCTCCTATAGACAACCACCTAACCTTAGGATGATTCTTACCTACAACTACAGGACATACCACACTAATACCAACCCTGGAACTTTCCCTTGCAACAAACCCCAGTGCCAGCTTTGTCCACTTATTTACTCTTCTGACACCATTATTGGAGCTAACCATGCTTATTACAAAATCAAGAACACATATTCCTGTTCAGCCAGAAATATAATTTATGCTATCATGTGCCTAAAGTGTCCATCTGCTATGTACATTGGACAAACGTCTCAGACACTTCGCCAAAGAATCAATGCCCACAAAACAGACATAAGACTCTCTCACAGAGAGAAAGCTGTTGCCTGCCATTTCAGCCAGACTGATCATTCCCTCAATGACCTTAAAACATGCATATTGCTTCAAAGAGACTTTAACTCCAGACTTCAACGAGAAGCTTCAGAATTGTCATTGATGCTTAAATTTGACACTTTATGTATGGGTCTAAACAAAGACTCTAATTATCTCACCCATTACAAAGATAGCTTCCCCAATTATCACTCCTAATGTCATTACCTCACAGAAACTTCCCCTATTATCACCCCTCTGTCATTACCTTATAAATACTACCTTCCCCCCTCACTCCCACTCTGTTCTAAAATTTGATTTATCAATTTCACATGCGTTCATTTTATTGATTGTATCCCTTTGGTATATATGGTTGTGCCAATTTTCTTCCACATATTGATCTGAGGAAGTGGGTCTGGCCCACAAAAGCTCATCACCTAATAGACCGCCTTTGTAGTCTTTAAAGTGCTACATAGTCCTGCCTTTTGTTTCTGCATTCAAAGAGGCATGCTACAATCACACTTGCTGCCACTTCCACTTTACAGATGAAAAAAATGAGGCACGGAACAATGAAGAAACCTCCCTAAAAAATCACATGCATTTATCAGGGCTGGGAACAGAATTCAAGACTCCTGACTCCTAGTTCTGTATTCTAATCAGCTGCACTGCACTGCACTACTGCTTTCCATCTTCTAAATGAGATGATAAAATGGTATTTAGGTTAAAGGTATTGCTCACGGAAAGTAGGGGAAGATGACTTGGTTAGTTTACCAACCTAAGCAGAGTACTCTCAGAGAAAGTCACTACCAATACATGCCCAAACCAAGCATGAAACTGTCTGGAGAATCTTAGAACTTACTTAATGCAGAAAACACTGCAGGCTTTGAAAAGCATATCAACTGTTACAATCATAAACAAACCTGAAGCACAGAATAAAATCCCTTCTGATTCAGATGTCCCATGATATTTGCACAGATGTGATTCATGGCAGGTCGTAGGGTTTCTCCTGAGAGGACAAAATTATGATAATTCTGAGAACTGTATGTCATATAATTTGTATGAACTGTAGTCATACATTGTGAATTATGATAAACTTCTATGAATGCCTTCAGTCTCAAAACTCATTGCAAACCTACACAAAACATTGAGTTGAGTAGCTTTATGGAATATGTTAGATACTGAAGTAGAACTTAAAGAGTGTGTTAGGGGGCTTTTTTCAGTTTTTCCATAAGATTTTTTTCAGGGTCAATCTTTTCATGAGTACAATTAAAGAAGATACTCTTGATGGAATTCAAGAGAGCTGGAAGTCATCAAAGCCTTACATGAAGGAAGCTTCTGAATCACATGATAATGGAGCAGCAAAATTGACTAAGCTGTTTTATCTTAGGGGGAAGTTTCCTCTCTGATTCAGAGCTCAGATATCTGCTGCTCAATCTGCACAGAATGATTCATATTGCTTGGCAGTGCTTCTCTCTCTGCAGCCCAAGCTGGAAGACTTTAAAGAGAAAGAAGAAAGGTCTGGACTGGTGGTTACAACAGGTTTTTGGAAAGAGCCACACAAACCTTTTCCCCGAAGTATTTTCCACGTGGAAGTGTCTGTGAAGGTAATCAGCATCGTGAGGTGCAAAGTGACCAATTTAGAGTCTTGTAAGATGTCAGGCTGGAATAACAAGATCAATAAAAAATAAAGTCTACAGAACCAGGGTGTGAAACCTCAAGACATGCAGAGCTAAAACCAAGGAAAGATTTTTACCTTAAGCTGTTTGAGAAACTCACAGCTAAACCACAAAATGTCCTTAATTTGTTTGATCCACAACAATGTAAGCTCCTTAGAAAGTGCTAATGACACATACCACACCTATAGACAAAGAACATGATACATTTGTGGTAACTTTATCTGGTCTGTTACCCAGAATACAAGCCTAGGAAGTTGTGTAATAAAACTGCTTCCATGAGCCACACAGATCCCAGCACTAAACAAAAGTACCCCACTGCCTATGATGACTAAGTATTGTGTGGGAAATGCCCTTTTGACCCTTCAGGGTCCAAATAGGTATCATGGGTTTTTCTATGGTGTTTATCACCATATCAGAACATTTCACCATGGAATCCAAGTGAACTTTTTTAAAAAAAAAAACCCTCTTAAATCCCCCTAATATAATTGATCTGCTGACCTTGGGCTCATTCTCAACATCCATACTACTCAGGATACAGCGACACAATTTTTCAAACCTCTGTAAAGAAAGAGAGGCACATGTTAGTACACTTCTTCATATGTACAGTCAGTTACTTGTTAAAAACACATGATTACAGGAAGCAAAGAGCTTCCATGCCAGAACTAACTGAAACTCTGATGAAACCATCATCTTGTCTTTGGCAGTGGCTAACAGAGGTGTCGTAAGAGGAAGGAAAACCTCACTGATATATAGATATAATTGCTCCCTCTTAAATTACAGATTGAGTAGGATTACATTTGTTTTGATTGCGAGTTACACAGTAAGACTTCCCTCCACTCTAGACCCTATGGCAGGGGTCGGCAACCTTTCAGGAGTGGCGTGCCAAGATTCAACTTATTCACTTCTATTTATGGATATACGTGCCAGAAGGAGGAGGGGAAAGGGGCAGGCTGGGTATGGTGACCTTATTTTCTGAACCAGTTGCAGTTAAGGAGAACAGTTTAATTAAAATTATTAAACAGATTAAGCATTTTAACTTTCACATGTTAGTTTATCAAACTTCATTTTAAATAAAATAAAATATTAATTTATGTCCAACACAAAAGGTGTCAATATTTTCCTTATTTATGGCAGGGATGGGGAACCTTTTTTGGGTTGGGGGCAACTGAGCCACAGAAAAATCAGTTGAGGACCACATAAGTGAGAACCAAAAAAACCTCATTCAAAAAAAACCAAAAAACTGATGTGGCCCCCAACTAAGACACCTCACTCCTCTGGTACCCCAGCCTCATACAGTGAGGAGAAGGGACAGGGAGGACTGAGATTCAGGGTTTCCCATAGACCAGATTTACTTTTCTGGGGTTCCTGCGTTAGTGGATTTTATGGACCTCCTTAGGTTCTGGAGAAGGAACAAAAATGGGGTTCAGTATGTGGGACAGGACTGCCAATGAGTGGGGTAGGGATAGGATGCGGGATCTGGGCGGGAGGAGGGGTTCAGAAGCAGGCTGGGAGTAGGGGGTGAGGCTGCGAGGTCTGGCCAGGAGCTAGGGTGCAGAAGCAGGCTGGGAGTAGGGGGTGAGGTTGCGAGGTCTGGCCAGGAGCTAGGGTGCAGAAGCAGGCTGGGAGTAGGG